GTTGCGAGAATAATAATAATTATAATCATCATCGTTTTTGGCAGCCATATTGGATGATTATGATATCGAAATATTGCTTAGCTTGGATATAGTGATGATTTATGAATTTTGATCGTATTGAGAACTTTATATAGACATGGAAAATAAAATGGAAGGGCGAAATCGAGCGTAAGTAATTAACTTTAATCTCATTTAATAGGGCTTTAAATATTCGACTTTAGACACGGCCAACAAAATCGATAAATGGCCGGCCAACTATTTGTTAAACATACGTATCGGAATGTATTCACTTTGTCTGAATAAAATTAGCAGCAAATTAAACATAGTTTTTTCCTTTTTTCGTTAAATCTAGCTAGGTACAATACTTGGCTTTGCTGCAACGTGGGGGTAACGATGATGGACAACCCGAAATGCCGTTACGTTACAGCATAATACGCGCGCTCAGGATCAATACGACTTTGAGAGAGTCGGATGAAACTAAAATTGGTTACGAATGCGATATATTGATATGGGTCTGAGAAGTAGGGTCGGTCCGGCGTACGTACTTTGGGTACCCGGGGCGAGAATATAAATTGTACCTTAGTAATATATATGGGGTTTCGAGGCAACGTCCGATTTTTTTCTTTTCCGTCTTTTTTGGTTTTTTTCCATATTATGTTTAATGACATAATATAAATAAATATTTGTTATTTTATTAATATAAACTTCATTATCAAGAAAAGATTGGAAATATTAATGTATATATAAATATTTTTTTTGTAAAATAAATGTAATTAGAGAAGTATGCAATAGTTTTTGTTCGAATAAATTAAAGATTGTAAATTGTATATTTTTTAAACTAAGTTTTAAAAATCATAAATGGATTTTTTTATAAAAACAATAATGTACAAGAATATTATGTTTTTAAGAAAACCATAGAAAAAATATTTTTTTACACATAAAAATATATGTAAATATATAAATATGTAAAAAAAGAAGGTTGCGGCTATATGCAAGACTAATTCCACTTGTGCAAGACCAAATTAAAATTTTCAATGTATAAATACCATAATACCCTTACTTGTTAAAAAAATAGAAAATTCCAAATGTGCAATACCAAAAACTCAAAAACAAAAAAAAAAAAACCCTATCACAAAATCACAAGACCAACTTTCATCTTCTCCATCAAAACCTTTCTCCTTCCTCGATCATCTATAAACCCACAAAACCTAAACATTCAAAATCATCAAAACTCAACAAATCTTACAAAGATGGCAAGTATGGGGTCATAAGACATCAAAATAGAAGAATCTACGGTGGAAAAACCTGAGAAAATATGCATTTATGTGTTTTTTAGCTAGAATATCGTTTTTCCAAAAAAAAATCTCGCGCAGATGCAGTCGACATGTACATGTCGAATTTTATAGGCAAAAATCGACATTGATATGTCGATTTTTTAGTACAAAATCGATATCTTAGTATCGAAATTAACTGTTAGTAAAGTAGTCCAAATATACTAAATTTCGACATTAAGGTGTCGAATTTATGGACATATATTCGACACCTTAATATCGAATTTTAGTTGTTTCATATTTTTTTATTATTTGTTATTTGGTTTTGCATGAGCAAACAAAAGTCAATTTAATTTATGTGTATATTTGTTATTTCATCTTAATAAAATGAAATCTTTTGAAATCTTTCTTTAATTTGGTATTGCACAAGTGAAATTAGTATTGCATATAGCCGCAGCCAAAAATGAATTGGGCCGTCTTAAGAAATTGTTCATCGGATCATGTCTGAAATAAATGCAGAAGATCTGTTTCAATACAACTTGGCAACTTTAATAGTTCATGGGCTTTTTAATCGAGTCAAACAATTCTTCCGTCAAATTTAATCGAGTAAAACTTCAGGGGGTCTTCTACAAAACTTAAAGAAAAAAATGTAAATACAAGGGCATCTGCAAAATATAGTATTTTGAAGTTTAATTCGTGTAGGAAAAAATTAACGGAAGCTCCCTCGATCCAACACAAGGGTATTATATGTGATGATGCTAATATGTAGCTCACCTAGGGTGGTGTAGAAAACGAACTGGGAGAGCAAAGCAGATCAATAGCTTGACAACTTGATGATCCTGAGGTACCTGCGATCATAGAACACATGAACTAAGCCGGGGGTTGATCAGGCGGAAACCCCTCCGACGCTCAAGTCAGACGTGCTGACAGTAGAAATAGTCCAGAGAATACGCATTGTAGTATTGCTCAGTTAATAGGACGTACCTTATGGAATGAGTTCAAATGTGTATTTATAGCTTAGTTGAGATTGTCGGGCCCAAAACTTGCTTGAAGGTGATTGGGCCTCGGTGATAGTGGTCTTCGATATTGGGCTCGTGACTCAGTAGGTAAATAATTTGTAGGCCCATTGAGTTGGGCCAATTAAGCATATCAATATGCTAATATTACGAGCACAAAGGATTCATCTGTAAAACTTGTAACACTGGGGTCAAATGCTATTTACCCTAAACTTATTTGTGTATTAACATTTTTTTTTTTTTTTTTTTGGGTGTCGGAATATTATCAAGACTGCCTGAGAAGATTTTTCATCATCCCTTAATTGAATGTAACAGCAGTACAGCACACAGATTCACAAATCATAAATAAATTCTCACCCTTTAATCTTTATACACAAAATTAATAATATTCCCTTCTCTCTCCTCACTTTCTCTCTCTACAATCGATACTGTCCATCTCCAACTCCCCTCATTCTGTACTTTTTCTTTCATGGGTTTTTTTATCGATTTCGAATTTATCAAGATTCTGCCCTAATTTCAAAAGATTCAGAGACTTGTTAGCTGCTCAATTGGGTATGTGAGAACAACCATTTTCAAGAACCCATTCACATTTCTTCTTCAATTTTGAAACTTATTGCAGTGTGTTTTTTCTCGAATTAGTTTTTGATTGCGTTGATTTTCATGTTGATGCTTTTGATTTTGATTGTTTCAAGGGTATATGCTACTTTCCTTTTATGGCGGCTTCTAAATTGGGGAAATATTAAAATAATTCGAAAAAAAAAATTGGGATTGTTATATGTACTTCATCTTTGAAGAATTAAAATTGGAGTGATTTATGGGTTGATTAATCGAATGCATAAGTATTGATTTCTGCATTGAGTTTCTGTACTCTGTATTACAATTTACACTGATTAAATATCTGCTTGTTCATATGTCAGTTAGAGATGGGAATATACCTCAGCACTCCAAAAACGGAGAAATTTTCGGAAGATGGTGGGAACAATCGGCTTAGTTTCGGTCTTTCCTCCATGCAAGGATGGCGCGCTTCCATGGAAGACGCTGTAAGTATTTCGATGAATTCCGATAGTAGCATATGCATATACGTTTCGTATAGTTACGGATTGTCTTAACTTTGAGTTAGTTGGATAATTTTGAAGTTGAATGTTAGCGTGAGCTTTTCTTTCGGGTTTATGTGATTGATAGCTGTTGAAGATGAATCTTGTTTTTTTTCGATAGTTATTATATGTAATGATGTATTGTTCTTGTAGATGTAACGTTGTATTAGAATCGGGCTAGTTGTCACTGAATTTGATTGTCGTTCTTCCTTTTAGCATGCGGCACTCCCGAATTTGGATAACTCGACGTCATTCTTTGGTGTTTATGATGGTCATGGAGGTATGTTGGTTCGATTCTACTTTTTTGGTTTTTTAAATGACCACTTATCATATAAATTTCAAAATTTCAGTATCATGCACATACTTTTGAGACGAAAGACGTAAAATCAGGCGTAGAGACGATATTCTTGATGTTCGTTCTCGCCAGTTACTCTTATGTTCCAGTTATTATACTTTATAACAGTATGTAAAAAATAGTACATTTACGTCATCTTCGAGTCAACCTTTTGTGTCATCCTTTCACTAATGGTGGTGGTTGAAAATCCGGTTGGATATTCCCGATTGGTGGTAGTTATTCAATCGAGAAAGTTGTTTGAGCAAAATTCTATCTGATAAATATCTAGTGGCGATTTCTGCTACTATATAAACACACAAACGTATTCACAATTTGATGAACATGCTCGCTTTGTCGTTGAAATAAGTTATACTGCTGTCTGTAGGCAATTTGTTAGATAATTGTTGGTTACGAGGAATTAAGTTCAGATTCCACTTAGGTTCGGCGGTATCTATTGGTTTTCGACTTGTCGTCTTATTTGTTTACACATTTATTAAAGTTCTCTCTTCTTTGTTATTTTGGCGGAAAGATTTGTTTGTTCGGTTGGTTGGCATGTCGGACATTCATTTTCATTTCCTTAAATAACGGTGATTAAGATATTTGTAACTTTAAATTCGTTAATCCGATTGTCGTCCCTTTTGATATCAAAGGCAAAGTGGTGGCCAAATTCTGTGCTAAGTACCTTCACGAGCAAGTAATCAAGAATGAAGCATATTCAACCGGTGATATCGGAACTTCTGTTCAAAAAGCATTTTTCAGGTCATTTTCAAGTCTCATACTTTTTCGAATAAAATCTTCCCCCCGTTTTTTTTTTTTTTTTAAATTATTATTTTATTTTTTATTTTTTAGGATCGACGAAATGATGCTTGGACAGAGAGGCTGGAGGGAATTGGCTATTCTCGGTGATAAAATGAACAAGTTTAGTGGGATGATCGAGGGTTTGATATGGTCACCGAGAAGTGGTCAAAAGAATATCCAAGCCGACAATTGGGCGTTCGAGGAGGTGCTATTTATTTACATAAATACGATTCCTCCTTAGCCGCCATTTCTTTTCTCGTACCTAACTTAAAACTTCGACTCGTGTATTTATTTGTTTGGTTAGGGACCACACTCTGATTTTTCCGGACCCACTTCTGGCTGTACTGCATGTGTTGCAATCATTAGAGAGAATCAACTCGTTGTCGCAAATGCCGGCGACTCTCGTTGCATTATTTCTAGGAATGGCCAGGTAAAATATTGAATTAAAAAAATTGTTTTTTTCATGTAATATATTTTAACAAAACAATGTGAGTTAATTTGGGTTCTTTGTGATTTTAGGCATACAATCTTTCGATGGACCATAAACCCGATCTTGAGGTTGAGAGGGAGAGAATATTAAAAGCGGGTGGTTTTATCCACGCGGGTCGAGTCAACGGCAGTTTGAATCTTTCAAGAGCTATCGGTATTAATTGATATTCTTTATAATTTCGACTATTTATTAGGTATGAAAGTTGTGAAAATAATTTAATGTAGAGATGCGACGTGTAATGTAAATTTCAGGTGATATGGAATTCAAGCAGAACAAGATTTTGCCTGCGGAGAAGCAAATTGTTACTGCCGATCCAGATATTAATATTGTGAGTTTCTTTTTTCCGTAACGTGTATATTAACCAATAAATATTAAAATTTGTACGGTGGTTTGATTGGCTAATATACTTAAAATTTATAAACCAGGTTGAACTTTGCGACGATGATGAGTTCATCGTGCTTGCATGTGACGGTATTTGGTACGCAATCGAATCTCCGTTTTTTATATACCCTGTTTTAGTAATAAAGAAATTCGCCTTCCGATAAAAAACTTTTGGAATTAGCACTTTCGGAATAATTCCAATTTTTTTTTTCCAAAAGTGGAGAACTAATTCCATTTGCGTTTCCAAAAAAATCGGAAATTATAGTGAGAAAACTTGTTCATGGATCAGAAATTTTCGGATCAAAACAACAGAATTTCGAAATTTCTGTTTTTTAGTCACGTGTAATGAAAATACATAATATTGATAATATAAGTGTAATTTAGGGAAACAAAATTGGAATTTTCGGAAAGTTGAATCGGATGGGAAATTGAAATCTGATATGAATTCCAATTCTGTCAAAAAAAAAAAAAATCGGAAATTGGAACTTTTGGAATTCAGAATAAAAAATAATGTTCCAAAATCGGAAATGCTTGGATCAGAATCGGCCGAATTCGGAAAATTGCGTTCCGAGACTAATTAATCCAGTTTCATATGTTGTCTGCGTTTAAATAATTCAGGGATTGCATGTCAAGCCAACAACTAGTGGATTTTGTACGCGAGCAGCTCAAACGCGTAAGTGGAATACCTAACTCTCGTTTTTTACGGTGGATTTGAAATCCACTCTATATATTCATTTTTCGATTTGCTGTAAGCAGGAAAGTAAGCTTTCGTTGGTGTGTGAGAAAGTGCTGGATAGGTGCCTTGCACCTACTACTGCAAGAGGCGAGGGCTGCGATAATATGACCATGATTTTGGTGCAATTTAAAAAGTCGAACCAATCGGGCGAGCCTTCTAAGGAAGTGGAGATTGAGTCGAAGAGCGAGTCCTAAAATTCGGCAAAGACTCGTTCGTAATATCTGATTTTATATCGAACCCCTTTTGTAAATGCATATATAGTTTTGTTATTAATGATTTGATATAATCTTTGTTTTGTCGTATGATGAAGTTGATGTGTGAAAATATTGTGTTCTGTTATTGAAAAACGCAAAGGGGTAGTTTTGTCAATTAAGAGTTTTTTTCTTCTAAAATCGAGGCTATTTAATAATTTCTTAATTAGCATTAGTTTTATACGGCACTTGAAAAAAAACAGAGGAGTAACATTTTGTCACATCCACGTGTATATATGTTTGTGATTTTTTTGTTTAAATTATGGATACCTCCTAAGATAAGATTAAATAACTTATGAACAAGCATAACGGAACCAATGAATTGTTTAAATTGCCCTTTATTAAACAAACAAACTCTAGATAAATTACGCATAACCCTTGAGGTAAGATACCTTGTGGGAGTATATTACATTTACCCCATAGGGGTAGATTTGGAAATTTAGAACAATCAGTTCTAGGAATCTTCAAGACGATGTTACTGATAACTTCATAAGGATGTAATTGTAAGACGGAGAAATAGCTTCGGGAGATATTAAATCTTACATCAGGGTTGACCGTAATTTACCCGATTTTTTTTTAAGTCGTGTAATATAATAGTTCTAGTCAAATAAAATACAACTCACCACCTAGCAATTTCTAAACAAGTTGGTGAACTTTGACTCGGTCAACCAAGATATTTGCTTTTCTTTATGTACACATCAAGTTTAATTTGAAAAGCTGCTTCCTTGCTAATCACTTAGCTGTAGAATCAAGTGAATGCTTTTGACTTTTCCTACTTGATAAGTGATTATATAAAACATTCTCAATAATCACACTAAAAAAAGAATTAAGAACAAAAACCATTTCACAGAGAGAGTATACATATATTTTATCTTTTAATTTGTTTGTTATTAGAAAAAAAAAATGGAGAAAAAAGTCGACGAAACACTACTCGAGCGAAAGACAAGCTGGGACGGCCAACAACTCGTTAAGTACGACGGCTTTTGGTTCTCCGAAATGTTTTTCCGACAAATATTATCGGCTCAAAACCACTTTGTCGCAAAAGATTCCGACGTAATACTGTCGACTGTTCCTAAATCAGGAACCACATGGTTGAAAGCCCTCGCTTTTGCCGTAGCCAATCGCGGTATTCATCCAAATACCGATCGAAACCCTCTACTCACTTCTAATCCTCACACACTTGTGCATTCGATCGAAATCAATCTTTTTCACCGAGAAAATCCGAATCTTGAATACCTCTCGTCAAGTACTAGTAGTACAATTAGTTCAAGAATGTTATCCACACACATGCCGTTCGAAATCCTTCCGGATTCTATCCGTGAATCCGCATGCAAAATTATCTACGTCTGCAGGAACCCTTTGGACCAGTTCACATCGCTCCGCCATTTCTTGATCGAAAATAGGATTAAGAAAGACGTGGTCCCACTTGGACTGGACGAGTCGTTCGACATGTTTTGTGACGGAATTCACGGGTTCGGTCCGTTTTGGGACCATATTCTTGGATACTGGAATGCGCATTTGGAGAATCCTGGCAAAGTGTTGTTTCTGAAGTACGAGGATTTGAAAGAGGATATTGGTTGTAACGTCAAGAAGATTGCCGAGTTTTTGGAGTGCCCGTTCTCGTTGGAGGAAGAAAAACGAGGGGCGGTGGAAGAAATATCGAGGTTGTGTAGTTTCGAGAATTTGAAGAATGTGGAGGTGAATAAGAGTGGATATGTTATGGATGGTTTATTGAAAAATAGTACATTTTTTAGGAAAGGAGAGGTCGGAGATTGGACAAATTATTTGAATCACGAAATGGCGGAACGAATGAAGAAGCTTATGCAGAGCAAGTTCGAGGGATCCGGTTTAATGTTCAAGACCTAAACATTAAGGCATTTTAATTTTATTTTTAATCATTAAATTTCTATGATATGTTATGCTTCAATTGATTTGATTTTTTGCTTAGAATAAGATGTTGTTGTTGTATTAATTGAAGGTGTGTATTTTTCTGTCAATTGGCTAATATGGCTATTTTAGAATAATTTGGCATTGTTATTTAAGTTCTGTCTGTTTCAAGTTTCAACCCTGGTTTTATAAAAGGGCAAATTGCACTTTGTCCCCTCAAAAGAATCATTATTTGCACTTTTTCCCCTCAAAATAAAAAAATGTGACTGTCCCCTCGAAATAAACAGCTCGTGCACTTTGCCTCAAATGTGTCGCCGTATTAAAGGTGGATATGTCATTTTACTTTTTTCCGCTTGAAAATCCTTCTTTCGGGATTACTTAGGGCTCCCATATTAACAAAATTATCTTTGCAATGTGATGAAATTCGCTTCCAAATTAGACGAAGTTCTCTTGCAAATTCAACAAAAAATGTTCTTTGTTCTTTATGATCATCGTAAGATGGGGGGTAAATGTTTCAATGACATTTAAAGTTTTAAAAGACGAAATTACCCTTCCAATTTACTTTAACCCGACAAAGATTAGATCGGAAATATACATTCATGCCGAAATCCATAGAGGGGACAATCTCATTTTCGTATTTTGAGAGGGGAGAGTGCAAAAATGAGATTCTGTTGAGGGGGCGAAGTGCAATTTGCCTTTCATAAAAATAAATAAATAATAATAATAATAATATTTAACACTACATGGAGTGGGGGAATACGATGCTACACCCGGTGATTTTCACCGGGTGACTCTTTTCTTGACATGTGTCATTTTTTATTTATTTTATAATTATATTTCTAAAACCCATTGGGCCATAACTGAACCCCGTAGTGGGAATCTTATTAACTAGGGTGCCTGGTTATAATCACCAGGTGTAGCATAGAATTTCCCCATGGAGTGCATATCGGGCACAGTCAAATGCCGAAAAACAAGTACCCAAAAAAACAAAAAAAAAAAAAAAAAAAAAAAACTCGCCGAAAACTCTAGGCTGAGCTATCGCTTGGTGTTGATTTCGATTCGATAATTTCCGATTTTAGAGCAATTTTTTGTTATTCCAATTCCGAAGTTGTGATTATCCATCTCACAATTAGTTTTTCATCTCGAGAAAAAAAATGGTTACTTTTGGAAACATTTTTGTTTATTCAGATTGACCAAAAATAAAATCAATCATTGCTGGACCGAATCTAAGTTAGTTGATTTTATTTATATATTTTTGAATTAAAAAAATTATTAAAGTCCCATTATTTGATTTGACTATACGTAACCCCTTTGGGGACCATGCATTAATAATACAAGTACAACAGACAACTTAATCTATCCGATCCGATCCGATCCGATTTCACAATCATACCAAAGAAGAAGAAGAAGAAGAAACCATACACAATCTCTTTTCTCTATTGAAAATGGAGAAGAAGCACGTGCTTGATAACGACGATGAACTTCTAGAGCGGCGCACTGGATGGGACGGCCAACATCTCGTCAACTACGAGGGCTTTTGGTTCCCGGAGATGTTTCTCCCATCAATACGGTCCTCTCGAAACAACTTCGTCGCAAAAAACACCGACATAATATTAGCAACGGTTCCCAAGTCAGGAACCACCTGGTTGAAAGCCCTCACTTTTTCCGTCGCCAATCGCGGTATCTACGCCGTCGATCAAAGCCCTCTACTCAAATCAAACCCTCACAAACTCGTGCCTTTCATCCAAGAATATATCGGTGACGAACATGATAAGCTGCTACCGATGGAAAATGTTTCCGACCCGAGAATCTTGTCGAGCCACGTGCCTTTTGTCATGCTGCCTTATTCCGTCGCTAAATCCGAATGCAAGATTATCTACTTGTGCAGAAACCCTCTGGACCAGTTCATCTCGCTCCACCACTTCTTCGCCAGCAACAAGATCGAAAAAGAGGCCGTCCCACTTGGGTTCGAGGAATCTTTCGACATGTTCTGTCAAGGAATCATCGGATTCGGCCCGTTTTGGGAGCATATGATTGGGTACTGGAACGCCCATTTGGAGAACCCTAAAAAAGTGTTGTTTCTAAAGTACGAGGATTTGAAAGAGGACATTGTTCTCAATGTGAAGAAGATTGCCGAGTTTATGGGGTGCCCTTTTTCGGAGGAGGAAGTCGGAAAAGGGGTGGTGGAAGAAATATCGAAGCTGTGCAGCTTCGGGAATTTGAAGAATTTGGAGGTGAACAAGAATGGATATGTTATGGACGGTGTGTTGAAAAACAATACATTTTTCAGAAAGGGAGAAGTCGGAGATTGGGCGAATTATCTGAGTTCTGAAATGGCTGAACGCATGAAGAAACTCATGGAGATCAAATTCGAGGGCTCTGGTTTAACGTTCAAGATCTGAAGTCAAGTCAACCACGGAAGTTGTAATTTTCTATTATGTATTTCATTATACATTAATATTCTTCGAAAGCATATTGTTGTTGTTTTTGTTGTTGTTGTTGTAGTTGTTTTGGAATTGTAACTTTATAAATTTGGTGTTTGTGTTGATTCTAATAGTTGTGCTCATTTTCAATTTTTTAACGTTGACCACAAAAAATATAGACTATTTTAGTTCATTTTGAAGTTTAGTGAGTATTTTATACGTTCGATATAGTTCAGATAGACAAAATAAAATTTACCTTAAAATTTTATGGATAATATTTACTGACTTGGAGTGCCAAAGAAATAAGGCATCTTCCTGTTAATTGATGCTCTAGCAGTCTAGCTCATTTGATTCTAATTTAGTTAATTATGTTTTAGGCTTAATTAATTACCAAAGTTAATTAATTTGTAGCACCGAGCCCCCTACTGATTATGGCCAACTTTTTTAATTCGACAGTAGCCCAGCTAATTTAATTGCCACCCCTAGCTCAATTGTTTCTTGAAAATTAACACCAAAGACTATATATAATTAATATTGCCAACGCTTAAATTTTTTTATTCTAATTTCCGAAATTATTATTATCTATTTCATAATTAGTTTTTCATTTTCGAAAAAGAAATGATTACTTTCAGAAACATTTTTTCTTATTCAGATTGACCGAAAATAAAATCAATCATAATTGCTGGATCGAATCTAAGTTAGTTGATTTTATTTATTTGTTAATAAAAAAATATATTAAAATCCACTATTTGATTTGACTATACGTAGCCTCTTTGGGGACCATGCATTAATACAACAGACAACTTAAATGTATCCGATCCGATCCGATTTAACAATCATACTAAAAAGAGAGAAGAAGAAGAAGAAGCAACCACACACAATCTCTTTTCTCTTTTGAAAATGGAGAAGAAGCACGTGCTTGATAACGACGATGAACTTCTAGAGCGGCGCACGGGATGGGACGGCCAACGTCTCGTCAACTACGGCGGCTTTTGGTTCCCGGAGATGTTTCTCCGATCGATACGGTCCGCTCGAAGCGACTTCGTCGCCAAAAACACCGACGTAATATTAGCAACGGCTCCCAAAGCAGGAACCACCTGGCTGAAAGCCCTCACTTTTTCCGTTGCTAATCGCGGCATCCACGCTGTCGATCAAAGCCCTCTACTCAATTCCAATCCTCACAAACTCGTGCCTTTCATCGAAGAATATATGGGTGAACATTACAATCCGCCACCGCCGGAAGATGTTTCCAATCCGAGAATCTTTGCAAGCCACATGCCTTTCGGCATGCTACCTGATTCCGTCGCTAAATCCGAACGCAAGATTATCTACTTGTGCAGAAACCCTCTAGACCAGTTCATCTCGCTCCACCACTTCTTCGCCAGCAACAAGATCGAAAAAGATGCGGTCCCGCTTGGGTTCGAGGAATCTTTCGACATGTTCTGTCAAGGAATCATCGGATTCGGCCCGTTTTGGGAGCATATGATTGGGTACTGGAACGCCCATTTGGAGAACCCTAAAAAAGTGTTGTTTCTAAAGTACGAGGATTTGAAAGAGGACATTGTTCTCAATGTGAAGAAGATTGCCGAGTTTGTTGGGTGCCCTTTTTCGGAGGAGGAAGTCGGAAAAGGGGTGGTGGAAGAAATATCGAAGCTGTGCAGCTTCGGGAATTTGAAGAATTTGGAGGTGAACAAGAATGGATACGTTATGGATGGTGTATTGAAAAATAGTACGTTTTTCAGGAAGGGAGAAGTCGGAGATTGGACGAATTATCTGAGTTCTGAAATGGCTGAACGCATGAAGAAACTCATGGAGATCAAGTTCGAGGGCTCTGGTTTAACTTTCAAGATCTGAAGTCAAGTCGATCAATCACTGAATTAAGCTGTGATTGTTTTGTTATGTATTTTATTAATATTCTTCGATTTCGAATGCATATTATATTTTGTTGTTGTTGTTGTTGTTGTTGTTGTTGTTGTTGTTGTTGTTGATTTGGATCGAAATAAATGTAACTTTGGTGTTTTTGTTGATTTAACATTTGTGCTCATTTTCATGTTTAAATATGCTTGTTCAATATTAATATTGCAAACCAAACCATTATATATAGAGGGGTTCTGATCGATCATTAGCATCAATATTAGCATTAATTTTGATGATCAAGTTAGTTATCGATTTTTTGAGGACATTAATTTTTTAAATTAATCAAACAAATATATATATATATATATAAATGCTCGAAAACCCGAAACTCCAAAATTCGAAACCCCAAAACCCGAAACTCGATATATATTAGTACTGGTGGCTATTTTTTTAACGTGAAACGCATGCAATTAATGTAGGGGACATCTTTTAGTTGTGGTTGTAGTCTCTTTGGCTATATTATATATGCATGTTGTAATGACAATTTGCAAAGTCTATCTTTAGAGAAAAAATAAATAAATAAAATAACATCTACATGCATCAATCATCATCGTGTAGAGTCAATGAAAATTATATATATTCCCTCATGTTTTTTTTATTTACATCTAAGCGTATTGCATATAAGATATTTTGTATTGTTCTTTTTTTTTTTTTTTTTTTTTTTGGAGAAATGTGTATATTTCTGAACTAAAGATCTGATTAATTAAATCTTTATTTGGACGACCAATAAATCCCAATCTCGAACAACTTTCGAGTTTCGAGTCCACGAATCAAATCAATAACAACACACATGCCTTTCGAAACCCTAGCTGATTCGATACGTGAACTCCAATGTACGTAAATATTTGCGTACTCTCTCCGCCAGTTCTTGATCGAAATTAAAAAGATGCAGTCCCACTTGAACTAGACGAGACTTTCGACATATTATTAAGCCCGGCCCAAATAGGTTTTGTGGGCCCATTATAAGCCGGCCCAAACTCTCCCTTGGACAATTAATTAGCTAGGACAAAGAAATAATGAAGAATTAGGGGCTTTAATTTCAATTATCAATCAGGCTTCAATAGTAATGTGTTATTTGTGCTTTAATTAGTTTGTGTCTTCCAATTATCATTATATTGGAAGAAATATAATTAAATTTATCAATATAATAAATCAACGTTTAATTATAATTTATTTGACATTTAGCTGTAGACTTGGAAAATTTAATATTTTATTTAACATGCTCAATCCAGCCATTAAAGAGTTTTATGGGTCTTGCTTAGTGCTGTTCCAAAAATTATAAAGAATCAAATTGAACTATATATGGATTAATTGTATCCTTGGATTTTGTTTTCAATTTTATTCCAATTTTGACCTATTTGAACTTTACACGTAAAACTCTCTTTTGAGTGCATGCATGATTAATTTTACGTTCCGTAAACGCATTGTTGATCATTTAATTGGCACACGATCCAACCCTATCTTGAAATGCATGCCTTCAATCTATTCTAAATATCCAAAATTAATCCTTTCCTTAACACTATAAAAGAATGCATGCAATTACATTCCTCTTTATTAAAATTTACACATATCTTGGTAAAATTACATATATATATATATATATATATATATATATATATATATATATATATATATATATATATATATATAAATGGAGAAAAAAGAAGAACCACAAATTAATTATGATATATATATATATATATATTTAGCTTTTTTTTTTATAGAGTCACATTATATGAAATAATTTTTAAAAAAGGGCTTGGTATATTTGCTACGAGGTTTTTTACTAGTCACAACATGATTTTAATCATTTAAAACTTTTCTCCTTCAAAAATTCTCTCTAACCATCACAAACTCTTTCAAATATTCGAAAATCATCAAAACTCACGCCATTCAATCCATCACTTACGACTCTTGAGTACAGTGATTTTTAGTAACTTACTTCATTTCAATTAATTTATTTACAAATTAATTAACATATATAGATTTAAGTTTAGGTTTAGGAGTTCAAAAAAAAAAAGGTAAATTACAACCACCCTTGAGGTATGATCAATTTACGAAAAAATCCCTCTTGTTTGGATAATTACATTTATCCCCTCAACTATGATTTTTTTTTACACGTCCACCTTTATGGTGTCAAATTCAAAATAATCATCTAGATTTCATTGAATGTGCTCTACTTTTGTATTCGTTGTGTAAAAATGCAGTTTCTGATGCA